CCAGCTGCAGGTTCTATAGGAACACTCTGAACATTTATAGGAAAACCTGGAGTGGCTCACCTACACCACATACAAACTGCTTCCAGGATGAGCCTGACCGATGAGCCTGAGACGCTCCAGCCAGGGAAGATCCCCTGGGGAAGGGATAGGCTGCCCACTCCAGTATTCTTGGGCTTCCCTTGTGGCTCAGCTGGTAAAGAATCCACCTGCAGTGCGGGAGACCTGGGTTTGATCCCTGGGTTGCGAAAATCTCCTGGAAAAGGAAATGGCCACCCACTCCAGTATTCTGGCCTGGAGAATTCCACGGACTGTATAGTCCACGGGGTCGCGAAGGTGGATACGACTGAGCGACTTTCACTTTCAGAGACAGAGAGAATGCTTTATTTCTCTCCTCTTCATCAGTGGGGTTTAATGTGTTCAGAATCCCACCCCTGCCCTCCTTCCCACTCTCTCCAGCTTCCACAAGCCCTCTTTTGCCCACAGGTGACAAGCAGCCGTAAGAAAACAGAAAAGCATAAGGTCATCTCAAGGGCATCTTCTGTTGCATCATGGTGTCCCCGTACTCGGGCTGAGACACCACGCGGGAGATGGTGGGAAAGGGAGTCTCCCTTCTCTCCAGGGACTTGGGTGGGAAACTCAAAAATAAAAGATAACGCTGGAGTTTTGGGATGCCATGGAAGAATCCCTTCCCATAGCCGTAGTGTTTGTAAATAAAGCCTAGCGACAGGAACGAGCTTCAGGCGGGAGGGAGGTGGTTAGAAAGGATGACAGAGCTAGTATGTCGAGTGTGAGGCCCACTCTTAGGAAGCTGAGGACACAAGGCTCAGCGGGTTTCTGAGAGGGTGTCTTTTCTGAAGGCTTCTGAAAGACACCTGGAAGGTGTGCCAAGTTCAAAGGAAAAAAATCAGAAAGATACCATGACTGGGAGAGGGATAGGGCTGCAAACAGCTAAGTGTAAATCTCAAACTTCCACCAAATGTCGCCATTTTCTCCCAGGTTAATAAATGGTGTCACTGACCTGTTGGATCAAAAACAGTACCTCCAAGGGGGGGTTCAGGATGGGGGACACGTGTATACCCGTGGCTGATTCGTGTCAATATATGGTGAAAGCCACTACAATATTGTAAAGCAATTAGCCTCCAACTACAATTAATTAATTAATTAATAAAAAAACAGTACCTTGAGATTCAAGTCATCTGCTTTCTTGCGGTGAAGTTTTTGGTTTTAATCTCCTAAGAGTTCATTCCACACCCTCTGACCAGAAAAGAAAGCCCAAATTTATACAATGATTTCTTGGCAGACCAGAACTGCTGAGGGGCATACGTATGCAGCTTCAAGGCTATCCGTAAGCACTTTCTTGGCAACCAGTGGCCCAGTCAGATGGTGGCAAGTTAACCCTGAGCCTACCTCGCCACCCTGAACTCTGCCCACAGTGTGTGAGGCCCACACTGACTGAGCGGCTGGAGGAGGAACTGTGTATGGCATCTCTCTTCCCGGGAGGTGAACCACTTTCTAAATATGACCACTTCATGACAAGGTTCGAAAAAGTAAGTTAGCTTCCAAGAAAGGATAAGGACTTTAAACAGAGAAAACAGCACAGCGCACCTGGAAGGAAGAACCAGGGGTGGAAATGCCTGAGAGCGCCTGGCCGCGGGCTCCTGCAGGGGGACCTGGTCTCACTGGAAAGCTGCCAGAAGTTCTCAGAGGAAGCCAGGGCTACATGGAGATGAGGGACACAGGTGAGAAGCCAGCCCCAGAAACAGGACACGGAGTCCTGTGGATCCCCATTCACCTACCGACAAGCACCCCTTCAAACCACAGACAAGTCTTCCCTGTGATCTACTCCTCCCCTTCCCTGTGCGCGGTCACAGGGGCTTAGAGAAACCGAACTCGGTTATAAAAACCAATAAACTAAATGGCAGGGAACTTCCCTAGCTGTCCAGTGGTTAGACTTCGCCTTCCAATGCAGGGGTTGCTGGTCTGACCCCTGGTCTGTGAGCTGAGATCCTACGTACCCCCCCAGGGCCAAAAAAGGAAAAGGTAAAACAGAAGCAATATTGTAACAAATTCAATGAAGACTTCAAAATGATCCACATCAAAAAAAAAATCTTAAAAAAAGTAAATGGCAAATAAGAACATACAATCCCAGCTTGCAAGGGCCCAGCTGACACCTCAGACTCAGAAGCAGCAGGCACCCAACTCACAGAGTCACCCACCCCCACTTAGTAAGCAAAGCCTCTTTCTGGGACCCCTTGGAAGGGCGGGAACTGTCTGTGTAAACTCAAGACTGCTACGACAATAGGCACCTCTAACAGAACCGAGGTGATTGCAGCCATGAAATTAAAAGATGCTTACTCCTTGGAAGGAAAAGTTATGACCAACCTAGAAAGCATATTAAAAAGTAGAGACATTACTTTGCCAACAAAGGTCTGTCTAGTCAAGGCTATGGTTTTTCCAGTGGTCATGTATGGATGTGAGAGTTGGACTATAAAGAAAGCTTAGCGCCGAAGAATTGATGCTTTTGAACTGTGGTGTTGGAGAAGACTCTTGAGAGTCCCTTGGACTGAAAGGAGATCCAACCAGTCCATTCTAAAGGAGATCAGTCCTGGGTGTTCATTGGAAGGTCTGATTTTGAAGCTGAAACTCCAACACTTTGGCCACCTGATGCGAAGAGTTGACTCATTTGAAAAGACCCTGACATTGGGTAAGATTGCGGGCAGGAGGAGAATGGGACGACAGAGGATGAGATGGTTGGATGGCATCACCGACTCAATGGACATGAGTTTGGGTGGGCTCTGGGAGTTGGTGATGGACAGGGAGGCCTGGCATGCTGCAGCTCATTGGGTCGCAAAGAGTTGGACACGACTGAGCGACTGAACTGAGGCGTGATAGTGTACATTGTATCAGGAGCGCTGCAGCCACAGATTTCTACGTGCTATTAACAACAAGGAGTCTCCACATTAATCTTCCCACATTGAAAACTCAGGGAAAAAAAACAGATTCTTGCCCAGGGAGATTAAGAGAACCGAGTCAGATGCAGCCCCCTGACTTTCTCTGGGTCTTACATCAGAAGGCAATGCTAAAGGGCAGTTTTCTGGAAACCCAATTACCTGAAATGCTCATGGCACAGGGGTGAACCACAGAATTCAGTGCTGACAGCTCAGCAGTACGTTCCTAGGGTGCAGGGGCTCTTCTGTGTGGCTCCCCCCAGAGCAACCAGAAGGGCTGAGCCAAAGCAGCAGCGACGGAGCAGAGGAGAGGCGGGGTCTTACATCAGAAGGCAATGCTAAAGGGCAGTTTTCTGGAAACCCAATTACCTGAAATGCTCATGGCACAGGGATGAACCACAGAATTCAGTGCTGACAGCTCAGCAGTACGTTCCTAGGGTGCAGGGGCTCTTCCGCGTGGCTCTCCCCAGGGCAACCGGAAGGGCTGAGCCAAAGCAGCAGCGACGGAGCAGAGGAGAGGCGGGGTGTCCACAGGCCCTCAGCGAGGGCCCTGCAGAGCCCTGAGAGGGAGCGTTGTCCTGTCTCCCAGGCCATCCTCCCCTGTGCTCCTCCTCGCCTACAAGGAGGCTCTTTCCCTGCCGTCCAGACCGAACTCCTGTTCCCCAAATGTTCTCCTCTGTCTCTGAAAGACCCAGTTCAAGCCTCACCTTCCACAGGAAGCCTGTCCTGACTGTACCAACAAGCGTGCACTCTTATGCCTTGACACTCGCACAGCCCTAAGTGTGCAAACCCTCACGCGGACACCACTACAATTCCTTCTGTTGTCTCTTGTATGACTCTCCTGCCGTGCCCTAATTCTTTAGCAAGTTCTCAAGGCCTTCGCAATGCCAGAAATCACGTGTCCTTCTTGCATTCCTGCCACGGTGTGTGACATGGTTTCACTGGAAGCCCTGTGATGATCGCGAGCAGCAGAGATAGAGCCGGGCAGCCTCCCTCTGCCCAGGGAAGCGGCTGCATCCAGAGGAGGTTCTCCTCTGCTACAGTCGGACACAGGGCAAGAGCCAGCCCACCGGTCCACCACGCGCTCGATTCTACCAGAGCATCACGGCTTTTACAATGCTGCGCTGCTATGGGTCTGAATTCCTACCTGAAGACAGAAACTGTGACTCTTAGGATATAAAGATCCAGGGGGATTTCATCTATCATTAGCTTCAAGAGGACAGGACACTGACCATAAGAGAAGCGCCAGTGAGGTTTAAACCCAGTATGCATCATTTTAAGCAATTCCAGAAGGACCTGTAATGAATTTCAGAGAGACTGTGGCTCAAAACACAGCCGGCTCTATTAGTTTTGAGCAATGGAAACTCAAGAAGAGAGGGGTTGTAATCTGCAGAGGGTCATTCAGTGAGCTCGTGACAGTTTTGAGTCAAAAAGGCAGCCTCCCAGTGCCTACTGAAGTACACTTTCCACGTGCCAGGTTGCCTGTCCCTGCAAGATACACTATGATAACAGTCGTTTCCATTAGACTAGAATTGTGAAATGAAGAGGAACTTGAGGAATGACTACCCACAGTATCAATCCGTACAGCACTGCGCATGATTATAGTATTAAAACAATCACCCTGATTGGTGATATAGTGAATGAGGTCGGACAACAGACTTAAATAAAACGTAACTGAAACACAAAACCTGAATGCAAGTTCACAGAAAGCTCTGGTCTGATACTGGGCTAGCCCCTGCCCTCTCTGAGCCTCAGTTTCCCAGGTGGACAAAGGGGTGCCTGCAGGGTTTCTCAGTCGGGGAGCCACCGGTGTTTGACATGGTCCACTTTTCCGTGGGATCGTCCTCCATACTGTCGGACACCTAGCACCCTGGCCTCAGGCCACCAAGTGCCAACAGTGACCAGGTCACTGTGACAACCCCAAATGCCCCTCCCTGCCATATTTCACAATCTCCTGGCTGAGAACCCCCAGGAAGGTCTCCGAGGTCCCCGCTGGCTGCAAGATGCCAGCAGGAAGACACCAGCGATCGGCAGGAAGTGGCGCGGGCCTACCCGTAGATGTCCAGGACTCCAATGAAGGAGTGCTGCTTGAGGGAGGTGTGCAGGGCCTTGTTGACGTGCTCCACGATCCAGTGGAACAGCTGGGCGTAGATGTGCTTGGCCAGGGCGTCGCGTGCGTTGACCACCTGCTGCAGGGACATGGTCTTGACATAGGTCTCCGAGGTGGTGACCAGCTTGCGATGGCACAGCCAGTGCTCCATCTGACTGCGCTCCACGCCCAGCAGGCGGCAGAAGTCGCTCAGGTGTTCATCCTCAGGCTGGAAGAGACCCAGGAGGAGGGTTCAGGAGGGGCGTGGAGGACAGACGACGCCCTCTCCCCTCTCACCAACTCTAGAACCCCCCAGAACACCATCTCATCCCCAGACGTCTCCTGCACTCTCACACCACTGAGTGATCATCAGGGCCCAGAGAGTGTGGCTCAAACTGATAATCCCACTAAGGACCAAGTTATCAGCAGGGCTTTAAAAACCCTGCTGCATTTGCCCTGTCCCCTCCTCACTGCCAGCAGCTGCAGGGTAACGGGAGGAGAGGGTTTGCGAGTGAAGGGAGCAGAGTGAGAACTGAGCGCTTAGGAATGGATACTCCACCAAGAGGAAGGGGCTAGAAGGCAGAATCACAGTGAATGTAACTTCCAGCTGCAGAGCAGTGTTTGTCCACAGCCCAGGAGAGCGCCTCAGTTTCAAGCATTATCTCGGACTGGCCCAGGGCCCAGAGCAGCGTGCTCAGCAAAGAGCCCTGAGCTGACCACCCCCCACCCCAGCAGGTGACAGCGTGCTGACCCTGCACTTGTCCTAAGTTGCCAAGCAGAGTTGCTTTCATCTTAACCTCAAACTTATTCTAAACTTCTATGTGATACTGAACACATAGCCCCAAACTTATTTATATTCTTTAAGCACTTGCCACGTGGGAAAAAAAAGTGATTTTAGGTGGAAAGCTAGGACAAATGGTAGAAGTAAGGGACCAGTTTTGCCCAGGGAAGAGCACTCTGAACACTATAATTTATATTCATGTTTAGAGCTGGGAAAAAATAGGAATGTCTCTGGCTTCCATCCCTTCGCATACAGGTGAGAAGCTGAGTCCCAGAGAAGTACAAGGACTCACCCAGGCAGTCAGCTGCACGTGATCTTGACCCTTACTTACCCAAAGTGCCAATCATACCACCTGGTCCTTGAGTCATTGATAACCAAGTCACCCAGAGTCTTATTTCACCCAAGAGTATGAGTCTCCTGGGTCACCCTTGCTGCCCATTCACGACTCCCCCCAGAAAACCTGCTTTTCCCCTCCAGCCTTTTGTCGTATTCATTCCCTCATCTGAATCCCCCAGGGAAAGCTGATAACCCAGCCATGAGCTGCTGGAGAGCTTCAGGACTCCGAGGTGGGTGGAAAGGCAATCCAGGAACATCATGAGCTACCTCCTAATGGCCCTGAATTGCTGCTGGGACTCGTTTCCTGATGAGGCTGCCATGGAGGATGTAAATGTGGGCCTGTTCAATGAAAACTAACACAGATAACTGTGCCACTTCCCCAGGCCATTTTTCCCCTCCTCCTGCTGCTGCTGCTAAGTCACTTCTTTTCCCTCCTACAGATACTTAAAATCCATCTACCCAAATACACACAATTACAAAACAAACAATAAAATGTCAGAGTAGGAAAGAACCTCCCCAAATCATGAAGGTCAGAGGTTTTCCAGAGTATGGCTTGTGGAGTAATAGTTACAAAGACCAGTAATTGGCTGTACCCGACAAGAGTGCAGGGGTGGGGAGAGTGACCGTAAGTTGAACATGGTGGAAGGGGTTTGTTAACATACCCTGTTAACACACACACACACACACACACACACATACACACACACACACACACACAGAGATTTTACAGAGCATTTCCTGAACTTAACTGACAAAGACCCTTAACTTCCGAAGAAATTGCCTAGAGTTAAGGTTCTCAGGAAAATACTTATGGATCACCATTCTAATCCAATCCCCCTTATTTTTCACATGAGAAAAAAACAGGGTCAAATAGAGGCTCCCTGCCTGTGACCCAGAGCTCCTAACCAGGCTCCAGGTTCCGGGGGTGGGCAGAGAATCAGCTTGGGCTGGGGGCATGGGAGGACCCTGCCTTTTCACTCACTCAGCCAGTGGGGCAGCTGTGGCCACTTTTGGCCAGGAGCCTTCTACCCTGCAGCTCTCCCCACCCCGCCGCCACCACCCGCCCTCTCCTGCAAACAGAAAGCCTTATGTGATAGCATTAAGTGCCTGGGGACAGCTTGGCAGGCAACAGATTCAGAGGTAGCAGGTGTCCAACTTGATCATCTGACCTGTTACCAAGAAGTCCTTAATTGCTAGGCAAAGCATTGAGCTGGATTCCCTGACATGTAAACGGCCTGCCAGCAGCAAACGTGACCTCCCAAGGCCTGCCCACAGCCTCTCTCCCCTCCCTGTCATCTCTCAGGTGAACGCAGTACAGAAAGAACCACGAGTTCTGGAACTTTCTGATCATCACCACGGGATGGGTTCTCATCCGCTGTGGCAAGGTGTGGCTTGGCCGTGGATTACCCTCTTCTGACCATTGATTAAAGGTGCTGACTGAAACTGATTTAATGCCATGCAATTACATTTAAGCTTAATTAAATGATGCTAAACCCATCAAAAATGGCCAGCATCATAGGCAGCAGATGAGTTTTGTTGGTCCCAATTGCCAAATTCAAGAAACAAATTGCCTCTGGTGTCCAAGTAATTGCATGCTGTTGCATCTCCAAGGTAACTGTGGCAGGCAGGGAACATATTTTCATGCTTTAATTACAAATAAAAACTACCGAGCAGAAGGCACAGTGCATCTGGACCGACAGCCTTTCCAGCAGGAGGCCCACCCTACGTACCCAAGGCATAAGCCAGAATCACTACCAACCATTTAGTGAAGCATTTCCCGAGCGCACAGGGCATGCTCAGCACTGTGCTGGGCCGCGCGGGACGGACACCAGGCTGGTGAGGATGCCCAGCCCCGCGGACTGAGAAGCAAGGCTGGCGGTGGTCTGGGGACGAGAGCACTGGCCAGACTCTGACTTGGCTTTGCCATGAGCCGTCACGATGACCTTAGAGAAGGAGTTCCTCTCTTCAGGCCTTAGTTTCTCCAATCCCATGAAGGGAGAGCAATGTAACAACAAGGATGAGAACAGTTAAGAACTCAAGCCCCCAAAGTGGGGGTGGGCAGAGAATCAGCTTGGGCTGGGGGCATGGGAGGACCCTGCCTTTTCACTCACTCAGCCAGTGGGGCAGCTGTGGCCACTTTTGGCCAGGAGCCTTCTACCCTGCAGCTCTCCCCACCCCGCCGCCACCACCCGCCCTCTCCTGCAAACAGAAAGCCTTATGTGATAGCATTAAGTGCCTGGGGACAGCTTGGCAGGCAACAGATTCAGAGGTAGCAGGTGTCCAACTTGATCATCTGACCTGTTACCAAGAAGTCCTTAATTGCTAGGCAAAGCATTGAGCTGGATTCCCTGACATGTAAACGGCCTGCCAGCAGCAAACGTGACCTCCCAAGGCCTGCCCACAGCCTCTCTCCCCTCCCTGTCATCTCTCAGGTGAACGCAGTATAGAAAGAACCACGAGTTCTGGAACTTTCTGATCATCACCACGGGACGGGTTCTCATCCGCTGTGGCAAGGTGTGGCTTGGCCGTGGATTACCCCCTTCTGACCATTGATTAAAGGTGCTGACTGAAACTGATTTAATGCCATGCAATTACATTTAAGCTTAATTAAATGATGCTAAACCCATCAAAAATGGCCAGCATCATAGGCAGCAGATGAGTTTTGTTGGTCCCAATTGCCAAATTCAAGAAACAAATTGCCTCTGGTGTCCAAGTAATTGCATGCTGTTGCATCTCCAAGGTAACTGTGGCAGGCAGGGAACATATTTTCATGCTTTAATTACAAATAAAAACTACCGAGCAGAAGGCACAGTGCATCTGGACCGACAGCCTTTCCAGCAGGAGGCCCACCCTACGTACCCAAGGCATAAGCCAGAATCACTACCAACCATTTAGTGAAGCATTTCCCGAGCGCACAGGGCATGCTCAGCACTGTGCTGGGCCGCGCGGGACGGACACCAGGCTGGTGAGGATGCCCAGCCCCGCGGACTGAGAAGCAAGGCTGGCGGTGGTCTGGGGACGAGAGCACTGGCCAGACTCTGACTTGGCTTTGCCATGAGCCGTCACGATGACCTTAGAGAAGGAGTTCCTCTCTTCAGGCCTTAGTTTCTCCAATCCCAAGAAGGGAGAGCAATGTAACAACAAGGATGAGAACAGTTAAGAACTCAAGCCCCCAAAGCCTATGCCAAGCGCCCCCACCCTCAGACAGGGACACAGACTCTGAAAGGTGAGTCACTATCAGGAAACGGCAGAACCGGAGCTTGAACCCTGGCGGTCCTGACCCAAGACTTCTCTCTCCCAGTTAGTTCTCGACACCACCTCTAACTGGAAAGCGAGACCGGCCTAGACCGCAGACCTGTGCTCAAAGTCCTCTGACTCCCGTCATCTCTCAGGGAAGGGCATCCTGCGCCACGTGGTGTCCAAGCCTCTGGCTGCCAGGCGTCCTCCCCGTCCCTTCACCACCATCGGTGTCCTCCGTCCCCTCTCCAAGTGTGCACAATACCCTCTTTCACAGCCTTTGCACACACACTTGTGGCTGCCAGTGTGTGTCAGGGCTGGAGAACAGGAGACACGGTCCGGGAACTTAGAGGGGGAAGCAGGCATCGATGTGATGCCACCAGTGAACATTCTTGCTCCTTCTCCCCTGAAGGTCCCTGCAGAGGCTGGTCTGGAAGATCAGCCAGAAGGTCAGAGCGACACTTCACTGACAAGTGGAGCCTTAGCTTGCAAGGGAGAGGGCCCCACCCCACCCCCGAGCACAGGTGTCCAGTAGCTCTCTGACCCTGGTCCTCCCGCCTCGCCGTCAACCCCGCCCAGGGCCCCTCCACTGGCTCACTGCGCCCCCCCCTCCCCGAGTCTAGGGAGCCCCTGCCAGCCACCCATCTGCTTACGGGGTGTCCACTGAGCCCTGGGCCCTGTGCTGGCTGCTGGAGCGAGCACAGTGAGCAGAACAGTCCATGTGTTCACGGGCTTTGGAGTCTCACGAGGAACAGCAATGCAGCAAATCAGCACATGATAAATGTAAAAGCACAACCACCCTGAGAGGGTCGGAGGAGAGGCGTGAAAACGGTAAGAACCCACGATGGGGGTGTGACCAGCGCGTGACCTTGAGAAGCAGGAGACCGGGGGAGGGCAGGTGGAGGCCAGGGGACATCTGTCACCCTTCCTGCATTTCTCCACCGACTCAGGAGCTCTCCAGCGCCAACCTTCCCAGACTCACCCGTCCCTGGCACGAGGCAGAGCACGGGTGCCTAAGGAACCAGGGGGCATTTACAGGGGTGTGAGGGGTAGAGGGGCATGGACGCACTGTGCTTCGCTGGCTCTAAACACTTGGGCCAGGGGGTGTCTGGCTTGTACTAGGGCCCATCCGTCACTCCCCACATCAGCACAGCACCAGGTTCTTCTCCACTCACCACAATCTGTCTCACAGCATCGTCACTGCCAACCACACTGCCCCGTGACAAACACGCACGCGCACACACACATAGGCACGCACACATCCATGTCCGGGGACACCGGGCACGGCCCGGCTCCAGCATTCCCTGCTTTCACATGGACTGCAGATTCCATGCTGAGGGTGCTGGCAGCCCTCCTGGGCTCCAGACGCAAAGCTATTATTTCTCTTTTAGGGACAACGTATGGGGGTGGTACGGGGTGATGAGCTCGGTCAAAGGCCAGCTACCATTCAAGTCTTCCTCTCCTTTGAGGCAGGGCCAGGTTTAGCTGAGTTATAAAATGCACAGCGGAAAAAGCATCAGCTTGTGAGTGGTGATGACACTCATGCCCACATTCATTATCCACAGCATTGTCTTCTGTATTTCCCCAGTCAATTCAATTCTAAGTCTTTGGCAGCAAGAATCGTACTTTGTACCTCCTAGGACTTGGCCATAAATGGACACAAAAGACCTAAAATAAGTAACTGCAGACTCACCCACGCAAGGTCAGAAGACCAGTTCAGTCCAGCCTGACACCATCACACACCAGAGTGCACACAACACGCTGTCTATACTGCTTGTGATTGGCGGTGCTCCCCCATCCACCCAAGTAGACATTCTTTCATCTACCATAGACAAGATATTATACTACATTGGGCACCAGGAAAATAGTCATTAAGAGCATCTACAGAGCACTTCACAGTTTGCAACACAGTCATATAGATTCTCAATATTCTCCTGTGTACTGTCAAAATCCTGGCCACTGCTGCCATCAATCCTGCCTACCCAACTAGACTGTAAGCTCCTTGGGGTCAATCACCAGCATGGTGTCCAATACTCCTTCCCGTCCCAGCAAGCACAGACCAGAAGGACTCATGAGCTGACCACACTCTGTAGAATCCCATGGACTTCAGGATACTTGGGAAACCAAACCATCAAAAAGGATTTATTGAATAACCCCTAAATAGCCCCCTAAATTCCCTGCCCTCAGCTACAGAACCTTGATGGCAGCTGATTTGAAAAGGATTTGTTCCTTTAAAAAATTATCAGCAAGGAAACAGAAACCGTTACTCTTAAGAATAAATAACCTATGAATGTCCTCTAAGTGCAAAGACATCTCAGTTGTACAAAACTGGAGGGACAGAGTGAAGTGTGCACACGTTATCTCCCATGCTGGAGGGCAACTTACTGACACTCTACAGGATTCAGCATCGCGCTCGGCTTGAATCTCCACATTTCCAAGGTGCAGGATGGAAGCAATTATCTTAAAAATGCTTATCTGATGGGACTCTCTCACGCCTGGAAAAAAAAAAAAATGAATGAATGACACTCAATATCCACGGTAGGATAGAAAGGATGTTTTACTTTCTTTTTAAGGACTTTGAAAAAAAAGTTTCATTTTCCTTTCCGGGCCAATGACTCCTAAAATGATCCAGGATCCTCACCAAGTAATTACCTCTCACAGTAACAGCTCAGAGGGCAAACGGACTCCTTGGACTAAAAGAGAAATATGTTCACGGTGATTGTCCTGATCAAACCAGATGGGTCTCAGGACCATTTTAACTTCTCTAAGAGCAAAGGAGAGGTGGCAATCATGCAGACCCATTTTGGACTTTATTTCAACCAAGCACTTTACAGATGTTTTTATGAGTTTAATACAAATGGTCATTTATCTGCAGTCATTTTTCTCTCAATATAGTATCCCACAAACACTTGTGGCACACATCTGAAGTGCCAACAGGGGAAGAAGGGGAGAATTTCTCCTGGGGACACTGTTACAGGCTGGACAACCAGCTGGCCCTTGGCTGGCCCCCCGGGGCTACTGTTTACGACACTATATGCTTCTTCAGTTATAGACACACACACCTACTCCGGTGCCACTAGCAGCAAATACCTACTGTCAATTTTGTTATTTATGTATGTAAGTTATCAAAGACATGGATAATGTCTTAACATTTATATTTAGCTTTAAGGTATTATTTCTTTTGAAAAAATATCTATTTACTTATCCATTTCGCTTCAGTGGGTCTTCATTGTGGCATGTGGGATCTTTCCTTGCAAACTCTTAGTTGCGAAACATGGGATCCAGTTCCCCAAGCAGGGATGGAACCCCAGTGCCATATTTTGGGAGCTCAAAGTCACTGGACCACCAGGCAAGTCCCATCATTTCTTTCTGAATTACCAAATAGTTCAGACTTTAAAAAGGCTTCAGACTAATAGAGTGAACACCAGTCAACCTACCATTCAGTTTAAGAGATGATACAATTACCCCCAAATTCCTCCCCAGACGTAGTTACTTATTTTTGAGACATTAATTTACTCAAGCTAAAAAAAAAAAAAGTCAGTGACACCTATATAAAAGTTAGTGAGTGATAAATATAAATGGTAGTAAAGATATGTCATGTAAGGATCAAAGCTTTACTCAGATAATCAATAAAGTGGACAACCCAAACATGAACTAAACAAATTAACTCTAGATTTTTAAGAATGTTGGGCTTCCTAGTGGCTCAGGTGATAAAGAATTTACCTGCAATGTGGGAGACCTGGGTTGATCCCTGGGTTGGGAAGATCCCCTGGAGGAGGAAATGGCAACCCACTCTAGTATTCTTGCCTGGAGAATCCCCATGGACAGAGGAGCCTGGTGGGCTACAGCCCATGGGGGTCACAAAGAGTCAGACATGACTGAGCAACTCACACACACTGTCCAAACCTCACAGGGTGAGGGATTTACTTTTTAATTTTTATTACACAACATCTTCAAAACATACAAATTTTAAAAATTATAATGAATTCCAGTTCTTGTTTCATCATTATATTCCCTAGTGCCCGGCACACAATAGGTGCTCAGGAACATGGGTGATAGAATGATGATACTGGTACTTGTTACATGGAGAGCAAGTGCTTGCAAATGTCTACAGAAATGAATGCATCATCCCAGTATCTGGTTTTATTTAAACTAACAAACCAGAAAAACAGCCAGAAGTGAATATTTAGGCACATGCCCTGGTTCAGTGTGACTAAAACTGGCAAAAGGAAGACAGGTTAAAGCCAGAGGCTGAAACCCAGGACAAGACAGGAGACTGGACGGTTATGTACCGGTTTAGGGGTTAAAGCTGGAGAAGGCAATGGCACCCCACTCCAGTACTCTTGCCTGGAGAATCCCAGGCACGGGGGAGCCTGGTGGGCTGCCATCTATGGGGTTGCACAGAGTTGGACACAACTGAAGTAACTTAGCAGCAGCAGCAGGGGTTAAAGGCTTGCAATCGGAGCTCAGAGGGGTCTCCAGTAAGTCCCAAGAAGAAAAAGGGAAGTGGGTGCTGAGCCCTTCACTTTCCTCTCCCCTTCACTTATTCTTAGGAACCAACGCTTTGTCAATTTCCCAAGCCCTAACTACTCTGTCATGATACGAATTTAAGTAGTAGATATTGAATGCCTGTTGAATCCTAACAGTAGTTAGGATTTCTGCATGACACTGATCAGACAGTCCCTTCTTAACACAGGATTCTCTGAATAAGCTGTACCTCTTTCTGGGGAGCAACAAAACAAATTAAAAATGATCAAACACTAAAACCAAAAGAGTAAAACACGGGTTGGTAGCCTATGGTTCATAGCCCACCGCTGTTTTTTCTATATAAAGTTTGACTATAATACTGTCAGTTCTTACTTTTATATTTTGTCTATGGCTACTTTTACACTACAATGGCTGAGTAGCTGCTACAAAATCACGTGGCCCAGAAGGCCCAAAATATTTACTATCATGTCCTTTAAGAAAAACTTTGCCAAACTCTGGGATTTAGAAGATGGGACAGGCTTATTAAAGAGTATGGAAGAGTGGCTTATCAAAATAATTAATTTTACAAATTCCATGTGCTTTGTGAATCAAAGTACTGAGTCTCCTTAGGGCCTTGGAGGGCACAAGCTTCATCAGCTCACGCCCACCACTCACACAGGGGCCCTTCTCCCTTCTGGACAGAATGCTATCCTGTTCAACGTCAAGTCTCCTCTCAACCTGCTCCCCAGCTCTGGAGAATAAAACAGCTACGTGATGCTGGGGAAACTCAGGGATGTCCGTTATCAATTCAGTATCTCTCAGCTTCAAATCTGCCCTTCTCTGCCCTGCTTGGTCACACTGGACCTGCTGCTGCTACTGCTGCTAAGTCGCTTCAGTCGTGTCCGACTCTGTGCGACCCCATAGACNCCCCCTCCATAGGCTCCTTACTACATAGTGATTTGCCCTGGGGAGCAGTTGTGCCTTTATCCTCTTGGGCATTTTGAGGCTGTTGCTCTGTAGTGCCAATGAACCCTTCCATATGGTATCTGCTCCTGTCTCTGATCAAGATGATGATGTCATGCTCTCCCATATTGCTGGACAAGGGAGAGGCCCTGCTTAGCCTAAGGCAGATACTCCTGTTGTCTTCCCCACTTGTGGCAGTGTGTAAAAGACAAGTACATTCTAAGAAAGCTCTGATGATGTTTTAGAGAGTTCAGAGTAGAAATGGGATTGGAGGATGCATTGTTCTATATTTATATCATACAGTTCTGTACAGTAAATTTTGTGCTGTGTTATGCTTAGTCACTGAGTTGTGTCCAACTCTTTGCAACCCCATGGACTATAGCCCACCAGGCTCTTCTGTCCATGGGCTTTTCCAGGCAAGAATACTGGAGTGAGTTGACATTTCCTTCTCCAGGGGATCTTCCCGACCCAGGGATCAAACCTGGGTCTCCTGCACTGTAGGCAGATTCTGATCCCCAAAGAACCTAAGAAATGCTGCTCTGGGTTGATCATACCTCTCAGAGGTCAAATGTCCATCAGGGAAGGGCTGGGAAAAGCACCAGGACCCCCTGAGCCACTCTGAGGATTTCAGGCTAACTTCCGAAGCTTCCCCTTTGTTGGCTGCAGGTCCCAGGAATTCACCACTTCAACTTCCCAGTTAAGCATGGATTGCCTACCACCTTGGGGCTCTTCTCCCCCAGAACTGGCCAGGGAAGGGGCAGTTTCCCTAGTTCTACTGCCGACCCAATGGACATGAGTTTGAGTAAACTCTGGGAGCTGGTGATGGACAGGGAGGCCTGGCATGTTGCAGTTCATGGAGTTGCAGAGTCAGACATGACTGAGTGACTGAACTGACCTGCCCTTTAGGACCAAGAAGGACAGAGAGAAATTCTTGTTTTAGGGATTCCACTGCTAAGCTCGAGATGGAAACAGCATAAACAGACATAACACTGCCTGAATTACAGAGCTGCCAGATCTTTACACTCCATTTCCAACTTGGATCCCATCATGGTGGTATGTGGGTAGTTTCAGCCCCTAGGGCATGTTCTTTCTGCTAGAACACACAGCTTCAAACCCAGACTACAAGGCAAAAAGATACAGCTCCTCCTGGTTTGTGTCCATGCCTGAGGGAGTGAAAGGGGGGGTGTCCATGGTTGATCCAAGAGATCAACACTCAAATCCTATTGTTAAGAAAGGGCATCAGAGCTCTACACCATCAGCTTGGGAGCCTGAAGGTTGGGGTAGAATAAAAATAAGAAGATATTTACCAGGAGCCAGAGGGCTTCCCCACCAGCTTATTAAGCTTGGCAAGCCAAGCAGGGCATTGCTGAGCTTTCTTTCCTCCATGAAATCAACCCTCTGGCCCGTTCTCCCCATCCCTAAGCTCCTTACCGACGAGCGTGAAGGCTTGTCGAGTCTTCTCAAAGTCCTCAGCATCATCCACACCCTCGATGACCGTGTTTCCTCCCTGTGACGTGTAGAAGAAGTCCTCGGCACAGGCTGCAGTGGGAAAAGAAGTGAGGGGGTCAGGCACAGGTGGGACGCTGCATCCCGGGTTCATGGCAGACCACGCACGCCCCCAAGGATGCCTAGCCCCTGAGCAAGCTGTCCCAGGCCGGAGTTTATTCCCAGCAAGAAGTGGAACCCTTTCAAATGTCATCTTTTTTTTTTTTTTTAGTGTTTTTTTTTTTTTAATTGTGGTAAGAGTCACACAAAAAATACTATTTTAACCATGTTTAACTACAGAGTTCAGGGCTTCCCTCATAGCTTAGTTGGTAAAGAATCTGCCTGCAATGCAGGAGATCCTGGTTTGATTCCTGGGTCAGGAAGATCTGCTGGAGAAGGGATAATCCAACTACCCACTCCAGTATTCTTGGGCTTCCCTTGTGGTTCAGCTGGTAAAGAATATGCCCGCAATGCAGGAGACCTGGGTTTGATTCCTACATTGGGAAGATCCCCTGGAGAAGGGACAGGCTACCCACTCCAGTGTTCTAGCCTGAAGAATTCCATGGACTGTATAGTCCATGGGGTCGCAAAGAGTCGGACACAACTCAGCGACCTTCACTTTCACTTTCTTTCAACTACAGAGTTCAGTGGCACTGAGTATATTTACACTACTGTGCAATCTTAACATCATCCACCTCCCGCCTTTTTCACCTTCGTAAACCAAAACTCTGTCCCCATTAGACACTAACTCCCTATCCTCCTCCCAACCCCACCCCCACCCCTGGGCATCTACCAGAGTACTTTCTGACTCCAGGAATTTGACTATTCTAGGTGTCTCGTATAAGTGGAGCCAAACAGGGTTTCAAATATCATCTTTATTGACAACAGCAAATGGGAGAGAAAATTGAGGAACAAAAGACAGAAAACTACACCACGGTGACAGAAACTGCTGCTGCCCTTGTGTTAAACTGATACATGAAAAACATGAGAAAATAAAATGGCTGGTTCAAATTACAGTAGAATTCACTGCAGACTTATCTTTAACAGGCTCCGAGAAACATGGTAAAAAAAAAAAAATGTTCACCCACCCCAGCAGCAGACCTCCGTGACCATCCATGAGCTCGGTCTGACAGCCTCATTTAACACATGAAGGGCAATGACGTGCCCAGGGTGACACAGCCGTTTCTTGTTTTAAACGTTAGGGCATTGTGAGCTATTTAAGCATGTGTGCAAACCCAGGTTGAGGCTCTCAGTGCTCGCTCTCAACCCTCAGTTTAATTCCTCTTCCGTCAGGCCTCTGCTCACCGCCTGGGGACGGTGAGTGAGCAGCCACCCAGGTCTGTCATCGGATTCAGAGCCGCCCTCAGGGGAGCACAGAGAGCAGTGAGCCGGGCAGCCAGGGCTTAGAAGCTGTCGTTTCAGGCAACAGTTGCCGCCAATCAAAATTACCCTCGAAAGTCACTTACACGTTCCACAAACTAGCACCTCTGTGGGACTACAATCCTGTCCAGGGCTTGGATTTGATAAGATGCCAATACTGGACACTGACTGTTTTCCCGCCTCCCCTGCAAACACCAGCTCAATGATCTTCTTTTGACCTGGGCACGTATGGTTGATGGCACATCAGCTACACCTGCTTCAGTCCAGCTTCCCAGCAACTCCCGGTGCCCCCCTTCAACACCTTGTCCTTCTGATTTGATCTCTAAAGAATTTCTTCAGTCTCTTTCCTTCCTGCCTCCTGACTGCCATTGCCCTGGGCCTGACCTTCAGCTTCTGTTGTCTGGGAACTGTTGCAAAGGCTCTAGACCTTTCCCCTGGCTTCTGCTCCTGTTCTTTCAAAACCCTCCTCCAAATCTCTGGAAACTGATCATACCACTCCCTGCCGAATGCCACGTGGAGACCACTGTCCTCAAGGCAAAGGTCAAGCTCCAGAGAAGGGCCTCCTCCTGGACCTTTGGTTAGGTGGCTTCCTCCAGACACTCCAGACCCATGGCTCATCCTTCCTTCACCTCCTCTACGTCCCAGATCCGCCAGCTTCCTCACTGTCACTCCTCGGGCTCCTGCCGACCTCTCCTGCCAGATTTCTCCACTTCCCACCTCCGATCCTACGCTCCAGCACTGCGCTCTGCCAACTCCTCCCACCGGCCCAGTCCACGCGACCAGGCCCAGTGAGGAAGCGGCAGAACTCAGCCTCAAACCCCAGTCTCACACACAACCAGCAAGGAACACTGTACACAGGAATAAACAGCAGAATAGCGATCATGTTTAACGAGGGAGGGCTTCCTGGAGGAGTCGTTTCAACCCCCTCTGATGACTGCAGGCACCTGAGCTGGGAGATGAAGCACTTCAGCCCCAAAGTGCCACACTCATGGCCACAGCAAAAGCCCATTTTGATGAAGCAAGTGACATTAGGTCTTTGTGGAAGATGGCAAATTTAGATCTTTCATTCTCATCACCCTGGAAGCTCCGACACAGAGTAATGCAACAGCTTCAAAGGTTTAATAAAACATCAATTCTATGCCCCCTTCACATTTACCTTTCAAAACACCTTGTTTGATGATTTTTACAGTGTCCATACGAGGATGACTGAATACAGTTGTCCCTGTGTATCCATTGGGGGTTGGTTCCAGGACCCCCCACAGATGCCAAAATCCACAGATGCTGAAGTCTCTTATGTCAAATAGGGCTTCCTTGGGGGCTTGGACCATAAAGGACCTGCCTGCAATGCAGGAGACCCAGGTTCGCTCCCTGGGTTGGGAAGATCCCCTGGAGAAGGGGATGGCAAAACACTCCAGGTATGCTTGCCTGGACAATCCCATGGACAGAGGAGCCTGGCGGGCTACAGCCCATGGGGTCACAAAGAGTTGGACATGACTGAACAACTAAAATTTATATACAATGATGTAGTATAATCAGCCCTCTATAACTGTGGGTCAGATTTCAGTTTGTTGACTCCACGGATGTACAAACCACAGATATGGAGGGCCAAGTGTATATTTACTTCCATTTTTAAGACAGGCAAGCTGAGCACCATAGGGTTTTAAGGAGCAGGCTCACCCAGGGTTTGGCCAGGCCTGGCAGCCCATTCCTTGATCACCCCACTAAGGAGATGGTTATCTATGACATCCCATTGCTTAGCCATAGATACAACCTAACTCATTATCCTAAAGGAAATCAGTCCTGAATATTCATTGGAAGGACTGATGCTGATTACTTTGGTATCCAATACTTCGGCCACCTGATGTGAAGAGCTGACTCATTTGAAAAGACCCTGATGCTGGGAAAGATTGAGGGCAGGAGGAGAAGGGGACGACAGAGGGTGAGATGGTTGGATGGCATCACCGACTCAGTGGACATGAGTTTGGGTGGGCTCTGGGAGTTGGTGATGGACAGGGAGGCCTGGAGTGCTGCAGTCCATGGGGTTGCAAAGAATCGGACACGACTGAGCAACTGAACTGAACTCATTATCAAAAGTATCAGCTGACACACCAGAGTTGTCTGAGACTCCAAGAAGAACACTAGACTGTCATACTGGAGAGAAGGAGGTATTTTCAGTATCAAACACCCGTCATTGTCAGCAGCCAGGGCCCTGCTGTCTTACACTGAGTCAGACAGACCACTCCATCCTTCCTGGCTTTGAGTTCCCAAACTCACAGGCCCTGCAGGGAAACTTCCTCCCACTGAGGTTCATCACTGCGAGGGCTACCCTGGCCAATCACAGCATTCTCTACTACAATCAAAATAGCCGTCTTCCTTCCCTCTGCTTTAAGGCTGCAGTCACCTCTGTTAACCGCACACCCCAGACTCTCTTCATAAGACAGACATCCCAACAGGCTGCAGTCCCTATTTGCTTAGTCTGCCTGCATCTCAGCTCTACTTTTAGGCCCAGGAAGCCAATCACCCCATCCCAGAGAGGGGTCTCTTGTCCTCCAGTTTGGGTCTCTCTCTTTTCTTAGAATTTCCAAAGAGACAAACACCATGGAATCCCCTATTAACTGGTTCACTGGATCAGATCAGTGTACAAAGGGGTCGTGAAGCCAGTGATTAGAGCAAGACCATCAAGACCATGGCCCAGGGCTCATACTTCACCTGGGGAGGCTGTACTCTGACTTGTGCAAGGCAAGAAAGGGTGTTTATAAAACTGTATCAGCATAGCCATGGAAATAAAAGAAAAAAGGATTTATTCCTGACTGTGTGGCGGGAATGTGAGTCCACTATACCTCTTTTAACCAGCATTTATGCATATTCTAAGGCTTCCTTTGTGGCACTAGATGTGCCACATATGAGATGTGGGTTCAATCCCCGGGTTGGGAAGATCCCCTGGACGAGGGTATGGCAACCCACTTCAGTATTCTTGCCTGGAGAATCCTACAGACAGAGGAGCCTGGCAAGCTAAAGTCCACAGGGTTGCAAAGAGTAAGACATGACTGAAGTGACTTAGCCTGCATGCATGCATTCACACTCTAACACATTACTAATAGTATTTTTTTTAAAAAATCTCACCCTGAGGTCATTTTAATACAACAGACCACCAACAACAGAGCAAAGGAAAGTGTGGCTGGCTGTCCACAATATCTGTTGTCCACTCCATCCATCCTCAGACAGATGCACAGAACTCCTAAAGGGCCAAGGGGTCTTACAGAGATCTCTGCATTTGAACAACAGTTTAAGTGAAGAAAAGCGGGAGGAAGGTGAGGCGGGTCTGAATATTCACTAGAAGCTGCTGGCTCATCCTTCTTTTATTTGACGTTTTCATCCACTCAACCAGGGTTATCAGTGGAACTAAAAATGTCAAGCTTCAGGGCTCACAGCCAATCCACCCACAAGGCAGAAGACAGCCTCACGCCCGAGCATGAGAGCTTATCAAAGGCTCTTCACGACACTCCAAGATTGCTCTCGGAGCGCACAGGCAGGTAAGAAAGCAAGAAACTAATCCAATTGGGTAGTTTTTCAACTGCTCCAGCCAGGGGCCTAAGGAGCTTGCACCTTGCTGAAACACGGAGTAAAGAAAAGTCATTTCTCACCTCAATGCTCTCCTGTAAGTGGGGAAAAAAAAAAAGAAACCTGATGATTTCTTTCCTATTAAAGTTACATTTGGAATAAAATGGTCCAAATACAGCCAGATGGGTCTTGCCGGTATTCATTTCTTTTCTATAAAATTAGCCCTAGAAAAAAGTTTTCATCCCCCATAGGTTGGCTCCAAGAGGTCCAGCAGGGCCCGTGGAAGGAGTGGAGGAGCATGGTGTCAGCCTTTACATGGCCTGCCTTCCTGGCCCCTTGTGACTGCGAGCCAACATCAGAGCCCCAAGCAGCCAGCTCACAGCAGAACCCATCAGACAAGGCTGGTGACATTCACTCCTTGTCCGAGGAGCTGACGCCCACTGGGGAGGATCAGACCCGCAAGCACTGAGCAGCTCGAGAAGGGCACAAAGCCAGCATCACGCGTGCGCTCCAAGGCTTCCTCCTTTGGGGTCCAACTTAAACTGTCCCTGAGCGGCTGTGACCCACCCCCTTAGCACACCCTTCTCACTCCATCTTGTAAGCGAAGCAAGGGCAGGACCCACAATGTCTGGTTCAACAGTACATCCCCAGGGTCAAACTCGCCTGCATAGGGTTCAACGAATGAAGGAAGCGGTGCTAAAGTGCACGACACAGGCGTTGATTGCTACCCACATCCACTCTACTAGCCAAGTAGAGCAGAGAGCTAAGAGGGCAGACCCAGGCTTGACCTACCTGATGTATTTCACCTCCTGGGAGCCTCGGCNCGGTGCTAAAGTGCACGACACAGGCGTTGATTGCTACCCACATCCACTCTACTAGCCAAGTAGAGCAGAGAGCTAAGAGGGCAGACCCAGGCTTGACCTACCTGATGTATTTCACCTCCTGGGAGCCTCGGCAGGAGAGGTCAGAGGTGGAGCTGGTCCTGGGCCCTTGTGGTGGCAAGGATTTGGCTCTGAGACCCCCAAGCCTTCTCTCACAGTTGTGCAACAGCCAGCTAACCCCTGTCTAGACAGCCAGCTCTGTACACCGTCTGCTAGTCCTGAACCTACCCACACCTCCCAAAACCCAGATGACAGGCCAGGCCAGGCAAGCTGCGTGGTCTGAGGCTTGCCCTCAGCACACAAACCCATCAGGAGTTGGCTTGGAGGACTCAGCAGCAGGAGTCAGTCAGTACTCAAAGATAAGGCCCTGAATATGGGTTGGGGTGGGCTCCAGGCCCAAGGAGAGGGGCTGCATGGGTGTGGTGTCGAGAACTACAGCCTGCTCGCCCTTCTTGCTTCGGCCTGGCTCTCAGCTCCGCTCAGGGCTTCCCCGGTGGCTCAGACGGTAAACAGTTTGCCTGCAACGTGGGAGACCCGGGTTCAAGTCCTGGGTCGGGAAGATCCCCTGGAGAAGGGCCTGGCAACTCACTTCTGTATTCTGGCCTGGAGAATTCCATGGACAGAGGAGCCTGGTGGGCTACAGTCCACGGGGTTGCAGAGACAGACACGACTGAGCAACGAACACATTCACTATCTCAGCTGCACTAGGTTCACATCAGGAGTTTCAAGGCCCCTCAACAAACAGCAGCAGCAGAAAGGAGGGTGACGGGGACCCACCAGAAGTCTGTCCTCCTATCTGAGAGCAGCAGCAAGGCTCCCGCTGGCCTCCTGCTCCAGCTGCTCCATCCCAGCGAGCACTGGTGGGCAGGTGTGCACAAGCTGCGCCTGCGAGGAGGACCCCACACTGTGGTCAGGCGGGGGCTCAGGGTGCAGGGAAACTCCTCTCAGCTCCCCCCTTCGCTTTCCATGGGGAGGCCCGGGATTCTCCGACGTGCCTCTGGAGCCAGCCCTGTCTCACCTCTGCTTTAGCCTCACCCCTTTCTTTCTTTTTCTTTGTCTCAATCCTCAAATGTGACTTAGAGCGGCTGGGCCACGCTTAAGTGGCATGCGTTAGCTAAATCTCTACATCCTCGTGGTGGGGACACGTTTCTCATGGTGTCTTGAGTGAAACATACTTTTCAAAATAATAATGAATGTTAATTCGCTGAGGCTCTGTGCAATACTGTGCTACCCCTTGCCTCTTTTCCTCTCGTTCTCTGGGGGCATGAAATTCACAGAGGTCTGGGGCTGGGCCCCCTGAGAAGCGGAGCTGAGAACCCCAGGATGGAGGACCCGGAGTGGAGCCCCCAGATGCATCCCTGCTGCTGCAGCGCCCAGCCCCCCGGGACGGGCAGCGCCCCCATCACTTACTTAGCGCCAGCTCCTTAAATTCCGGAAGACTGGCAGCCGCACAGAGCTGGTAAAAGATGTGGTAATTCCTCTCGTCGTCTGCCTGGAGGAGAAAACACAGTTGCTCAGTGAGGGGCGGGGACCCCAAGACTGTCCCCTGCCCCGTTTGAACTCCAGGGTGCTCTGGGAGACAGAGGTCAAGACCGTTCCTTCCCACCTCTGCCACCTTCAACTCCTACCTCCAGAGTCTGCATTCACTGTTACGGAGCCTTCTGTCAACTAGAAAATGTTTAGTTTTTGACTTCTGCAAAACAAGGTGTGGTCTCTCTTCCTCCCTCACAGAGCATCCCTGCGGTTTCACCCGGGACAACTCCATGGGTTGGCACTGGCTCAGGCCACCGTGCTGCCTGGCTCACGCTGGGAAGACTGTCACTTCCCTGGTGTGGGCTCCCTCTTGCCCCTGGGAGGCTTGGCACTAAGAGAAGCTCTGCCCCTGCAATCATCAGGCTGGGACAGCGAGGGGAAAGGTCCATGATGAGACAGGACTTACAGCGGACATCGGGGCCAGACCTGCCTTACACAGGCAGAATGGCGGTGGTGGGTGGTAGGGGCAAGGCTTTCAGGAAGCCTGAGTGTAGACGACAAGGAAGAGGAAAAAACCCATGAGGAGTCTAGCCACAGCCATGGTTGGAGCACATCTCACCCACACCCAGCCCAGCAGGCTGTCTGCGCTGTCGCAGTGAAACTGCGGTGGTCCACAATTGGGGTGCTCCCACCAAACCTGCAGGGTGGAGGGAACCGCGCTCGGGGTTGTGATCTGCACCGACCACCACTGGAGGCCAGGGTGGAGCAGGAGGACGGTCCTCAAGAGGCCAAAGACTATTCGGGAAGGAGGGAACCAAAGGCGAGCAAAGAATAGCCGCACAGAGCTGGTAAAAGATGTGGTAATTCCTCTCGTCGTCTGCCTGGAGGAGAAAACACAGTTGCTCAGTGAGGGGCGGGGACCCCAAGACTGTCCCCTGCCCCGTTTGAACTCCAGGGTGCTCTGGGAGACAGAGGTCAAGACCGTTCCTTCCCACCTCTGCCACCTTCAACTCCTACCTCCAGAGTCTGCATTCACTGTTACGGAGCCTTCTGTCAACTAGAAAATGTTTAGTTTTTGACTTCTGCAAAACAAGGTGTGGTCTCTCTTCCTCCCTCACAGAGCATCCCTGCGGTTTCACCCGGGACAACTCCACGGGTTGGCGCTGGCTCAGGCCACCGTGCTGCCTGGCTCACGCTGGGAAGACTGTCACTTCCCTGGTGTGGGCTCCCTCTTGCCCCTGGGAGGCCTGGCACTAAGAGAAGCTCTGCCCCTGCAATCATCAGGCTGGGACAGCGAGGGGAAAGGTCCACGATGAGACAGGACTTACAGCGGACATCGGGGCCAGACCTGCCTTACACAGGCAGAATGGCGGTGGTGGGTGGTAGGGGCAAGGCTTTCAGGAAGCCTGAGTGTAGACGACAAGGAAGAGGAAAAAACCCATGAGGAGTCTAGCCACAGCCATGGTTGGAGCACATCTCACCCACACCCAGCCCAGCAGGCTGTCTGCGCTGTCGCAGTGAAACTGCGGTGGTCCACAATTGGGGTGCTCCCACCAAACCTGCAGGGTGGAGGGAACCGCGCTCGGGGTTGTGATCTGCACCGACCACCACTGGAGGCCAGGGTGGAGCAGGAGGACGGTCCTCAAGAGGCCAAAGACTATTCGGGAAGGAGGGAACCAAAGGCGAGCAAAGAAGAACCAAGTCCCATTTATTTGAAAAGGAAACTAACAAAACGGTCAAATAGCTTCTTTTTTTTTTTTTTTAATATAACTTACCAAGTGAGTTTCCTGGTGAAAGGGGAAACCCACAGACCCTATATGACACTGCCCAGATCACAAGACTCTGAAGTCCACAAAGCATGACTGCCTTCTCTCTCTTTGGTGCCTAGCACAGGGCTAGCACATGACAGACAACACAGGTTTGTGGACTGAATCTAAACACAATGCCCACTGAAACACATCAATACGGGATAAAAGATTTTTCAGGTCTGATACCTATAAATGAAAACTCATTAATTAAAAAAAGGAAGAAAGAAGACCGAAAGCACAAGTCTATCCAAGTCCGGGTTCAGAAGACGAGGTGTTCTTTGGGCACCGGGAGCAGAACATGCAGCAAGGAAGCACCATCCCCGGGAATAAAGAAACAAAACGTGCAGTCATGCGGCTCACCTGAAAGACCACTCTGGACTTCTCCAACAGGTAGGTCCTCATGTTGGCGCCGATGATGCGGTACCTCTTGTCAAAGCCGATCTGAATGTACTTTCCGAAACGGCTGCTGTTGTCATTGCGGGTGGTTTTAGCATTCCCGATGGCCTGTGCAGAAAAGACAAAGGTGTGCAAGACAGCGTGGGTTTTCCTAAGTTTCAGGATTGAGTGCTCCTGGCAGCATCTCCAGTCCCTCCCTCCTCCTTCCTTCTAGAACTCGTTATCGAGATGACAATGGTTCGAGCAAAAGAAAACAGAGAACTTAATTTTCCTGCTTCCTTTATCCTAAGGAAGGCCAGTGAGAGTGATGAGTTGACTGGTGGTCTCTTTAAAGGGAACTAGACAGCTGGAAGGTGCACCTCTCTGACCTTCTCTTCTTCCTTTTCCTACCTGGAATGTGCATGTGAGGGCTACTCTCCATCCCCACCCTGAGAGAGAGCCCTGATTCTTCAAGGCACATGTGACAGGCCACCGTCAGACCTCAGGAAGCCAATTCTGTTTGAAAAGTGGCAAGGAGGGCTGCGTTCCCTAACACACAGGTAACAGTGACCATTTCCCAGGCCTCCAACATGAACCAGGTCCTGGGCTGGGCTCCCTTCACTTTCCCTGAATCCAGGCAGATGGGTATTATTAACTTCCCTCAAATTTCTGGGAAAACTTAGGCTCAGAAAAGGTAAGCAGTGTGCTGATGTCACACGGCTGGGAAGTGCCAACACCAAGATACAAATTCAGATACAACTGAGTCCCCAGTTCGTGTTCACTCTACTTGGTTTCACAGCCGTTTTCCAAACTACTCACCACCAGACGGGAGTGGCCACCCGTGTGGGTGACTTCTCACATCTCAAACATTCAGGTCAAATCAAAGGATAAAGACTAAGACATGAATCCTCATGTTTATCTTTTCCTAAGAAAGCGAAGGGAATACCTTTCAGAGGATGGTAGGGAGCCAACTCATTCCTCTGACAAGCAGTATATAAGGAAGCAAACATCCAGCCTAGCTTTCCTGTGTAAATTCTATTAGGGTAACTAGTTAGTGAGGAGAAGCTTCCCTTCCTAGACTTACTCTAGGGGAGTAAGGGAGGGAGGAAAAGTGGAATGAGAACATCACCATTCTGTAACTCTTGATGAATTAACTGATCTAGACATAAGCGATGGCTGCTGACTCCACCAAAGACAGCTAGGCATTCTGTGCATCTTGATGGGAACACCCACCATCAGTAATAAAGGGTTTTTGGTTTTTAAAACAAACAAACCTAAATCTAACCAAGCCTTTAAATTTTACCACCCTTTCATGGGACATACAGAAGACAAAGGAACATGTTAACATAAGGAGGATGCAATCAGCAAAGGCCAGCTGGTGTAAAACTCAAGGATTATCTACCTTCAACCAAAAAAACACAAATCTCAATTTCAAAAAATTCAAATTTTGTCATTTGTAAAATGGCAACAAGAATGTTCTCTTCACCAGGGACTTTCCCAGCAGTCCAGCTAGGACTTCACCTAGTTTGATTCCTGGTTGGGAAGCTAAGATCCTGCATGCCTTACAGCCAAAAAAAAAAAAAATCCAAAACAAAAAATGGAAGCAATCTTGTAACAAATGCTATAAAGATTTTTAAAATGGTCCATATGAAAAAAAAAATCTTCAAAAAAAAAAAATGAATGAACCTTCACCACATCTGAGACCACTCCTTAGGGCAGTTGAGGGAAAGCTTGCCTACAGCCTAAAGATCACTGCCAGTCTATGCTCCTTACCTCACGAGGCTACTTTAAGAAGTGGTACAATGGATCTACAAGCACTTTGAAAGTATTTAATGGTACCCATGAAGGGAAAGGGCTGTTTGTATTATTACTACCAAACCCGTAAACTCCACTCTGGCCATGAAGAGCTTCTAACTTCTGTGTGTGTGTGTGTGAAGGACTTGCCTGTGGTTCTTTATCTGTTAAACAGATAAATCTGCTAGATTTATTGCTGTTGTATTGACTTAGAAAACATGTTGAATGCATGAGGAAAGCAAGTCCCGTTGTTACACATGATAAAAACCCTGACTTTTATTATCTCTGAGTCTACAGTCAACAAGACACAGGCATGATATGGGCAGTTAAAATTTGAAAAATGAACAAATGACATATGCAGGGAATTCATGGAAGAAAGTCACATGACCAGTAAATATCAGATACTCAACCTCAGTGGAAATCAGAGAAATGTAGACAAAAATGACAGTCCAGGGTGGCACTACCTGAAGAACTTTGATACTATGAAATGTTGAGGGGAAAAGGAACTCTCATATATATATTGCTGGTCCAAATGTAAACTGCAACAGCCATTCTTAAGAACAATTGGGCATATCTAGTAAAATTGAATATATAAGGACCTAAGAATCCAGCAACTGTACTTCTAGATATTACCTAGAGAAACTCACATAAGTGTACAAGTAGGTGTGCAAAACAATGTTTAATGCAGAATATATAACAATAAAATACAACCTATATATCTACCAATCAGGGAAACAGATAAAATGTGGACTATTCATACCATGGGATGCTATGAAGCTGTTAAACTAAGCAAATTAGAACATAATGCATGGGTAACTAAAAAGAATATTGAGTGAAAAGCAAGTTGCAAAACAGTTAATAGAATACGGTACCATTTGTATGTGATAGAACTACCCTCTGACTTATGCATATACAAATATGTAGGAAAACAAAAATGGACGGGAACCAATCATTTCACTATGATTGGGACTGCACAATAAGGAGATGCATATCAACTAGGGTGGAAACCGAGAAGGTAGAAATTTAGCCAATGCCAGCAGAATGGAAAAGGCTTAAAGAAGTGGAAGATGAAGCAAATCTTAAAGGGTGAGTGTAATTTTACCAGTGGAGAAGGAAAGGGGATTTTATTTATAAATGCAGCATGGGCAAAGGGACAGAGAGGTATGTGAGAGACCTAACACTGAGGAATGGCTAGAGTGAGTTGAAATATGAGCGAAAACAAGAGGAGAGGGAGTCAGTAAGGTGTGATGGGGCAGATCCTTGCACGAACAGGTTAATAGTCATAGACCTTCTTGTTTCTTTAGCTTAAAAAAAAAAGTCAAATCCTGAAAATTATGTAACAACTGGTCTTCGTTTCTGTCAATTTAGCCCCCTTTTTTCCTCCAGGACAAGGGGGGGGAGGTCTCTGTGGCTCTTGGAGTTGTGTGCCTGCAGACTCCAGTCACCCCAAGAAGCCATGTGACCCCTCTGGGCTGGGGCTGGGTTCTGCCCCTGCTCCCTCAGTCTCTTGATTAGCAGTATCCTTCCAATCAGCACAGACTTGTGAACCAATCACTCCCAGGATGCTGACAAGCTCTTACACAGAATGGGGTCAGAGAGCTCTGAAGCTGACAATAGATCATCCAAATCCAGCCCAGTCAATCCCAACCCACCCGCAACTCGCCTTTAATTCAAACAACTGCCACTTAACGCAGCCCACTGAGAACTCCAGCGCCTCAGACAGCCCGCAACTCTGGGTCTTCCCAGGAGGCGTCTGCAGAAGCTGGGCTGCAGAAATAACGAGGTGATGACATGACCATAACTGATTGCTTCATTGGGAGGTGCCATCCTTCCCTGGGACAGGGCTGGAATCATCAGTAATCAGCAGTGCCCTGATTAAAACATGCCTTGTATTGGTTGTATTCCTCTGAGGAGCCATAAAGATGACTGTGCTTCCTGACACCAGGGCCCAAGTTAAGACTCTGAACTTGCGAAAAGCTGGGTTTGGCCAGTAACAAAATCTGCTCCTTCTCTGCTCAGCGTCACTTTGATTCTACCTTGAGCTCTTCTGGGCAACAATGCTTCCTTTCCATGTTCATATCTGATATTTCTCTCAAATGTAACACTTAACAATAGCCCACGGGATAGCCTCTATGATAACAAAATCCCATAGTTGACAGAATGAGCCCTCTGGGTTTATTCACATGATTTCCAAAGTAGCAATTTGCTTAGCTGTGGAAATTTAACATTTTGCCCCCAAACCACTGTAGCATTTGTTCACATGACATCAGGCAAGACCAGGCTGGTTCATGGACACACTCCTCCTCCTCTTGCAGTGAACACGTTGCCCTCACACTTCTTCCATGCCTGCCTTAGCCCAGCAGCCTGCTCAGGCTGTAACAGACACTGGAAACATCAGATCACGGTCATTTAAGAAGCATTCCCAAGGCAGGGACCCCCACAGTTAGGTGCACCCCAATGTTCATGGGAGCATTATTCACACTGGCCAATAAAGTGGAAATAACCCAACTATCCATCAACAGAGGAACAGACAAAAATGTGGTATATACATGCAACAAAATGTTATGCAGCCATAAAAGGGGAAACCAGGTACTGACGCGTGCTGCAACAGGGATGAACCTTGGGAACGCTATGAAATGAGTGAAATCAGCCTGACACAAAGGAGTGAGGTCTATGATTCCATTTGCATGAGAGATACAGGAGAGGCAACTTCGTGTGGACAGGAATTAAAACAGAGGTTACCAGAGCAGAGGGCATTGTTCTTCAGTGGGTACAGAGTTTCTGTCTGGATAGTGAAAACATTCTGGGAACGGATGGTGGTGGTCGATGGTGCACAATACTGTGAGTGTACTGAATGCCAATCAACTGTACACTTCAACGGTTGTTAATTTTTCTGTTATGTATGTTTTACCACAACAAAATTTAAAAAAAAATCCCGCCTGTGTCTTGTACCTGTTTAATTATGAGGTGGTCTGTCTTCATGAAGATCCCCCATCCTGACTAATAAGAACTGCCTTCAGTCACCAGGGATCAAACGGGTTTCTTCCCTTCACTGTTTTGTACAGATCACTACTTACTTTACTTCCAAAAGAATAGGCACCCTGTGTCTTGGCAATCTTACTACTACAAAGTAAATTTTGTTGTAGTAATTCTGAATTTTGAAACTCAAAGGAAAAGCTGAAATCCTGGTTTCACTCTCACCCGAGATGATTCACGATGCTAACTGTAGAGTGCTGTCTTCGCTGCCGCCATGTAAGTGCAGGAGACAGCCAAGGGGGAGGCGTGGGCTCACATCCACGATCATCTCCCAAACCCAGCCCGTGGCCAGGCCCCCACCTTGAGGCGTTAAACAAATGCTGTGAGCAAAGGGCTGCAAACTAAATGTCTGACAACAGGGAGCTAAACAGTGGTAAAGCCATCTATTAATGTATGCCTGTAGCCAATGAGCTCATAAGAAGCTAAATGATAAAGGGACGTGGCTAATCCTATTACTATAATAGTCAGTGAAAAAGCTGGAAGGAAATATACCAAAATATTGAACAATTATCAGCAGGCTGTGGGATCAAGGGGGATTATTTCCTTTTCGTTCATATTTTCCAGTGAATCCTTCCTACCTTCTTAACATTTATTCAATAAATGTTTCCCAGTGGGTGTGGGACTGAGACCAGCATCATCAGGATCACCAAGGAACTTAAAATAAATGCAGATTTCCCGGACCTTCTGAATCAGAAGCTCTGGGAGTAATGCCCAGCTACCAGCTCTCACAAACGCTCCAGGAGATTCTGATGCACGGTCAAGTTTAAGAACAACTGTAAGCAAATAAAAGGTTTTTTTCCCGTTTCTAATCTGTTTGGTAAAAATGCTTTCAGCTTTATTGACCATTTCCCAATTCATATAAGAATAGATACTGAAACTTGCTTTTCTCTACAAACATATTAAGTTGCTTCAGTCATGTCCGACTCTGCGAACCTATGGATTGTAGCCCACCAGGCTCCTCTGTCCGTGGGATTCTCCAGGCAGGAATCCAGGCCTAGATTCTCCAGGTAGAAGAGTTTGCTTAGTTAACTGATGAGCCTCCATGATTCAAGACTCAGAATCTACTCCTGCAATTGGTAAAGGCAGAGGGAGCAAGAGAGGCCTTGAGAAGGTCCAGCCAGGGTCTCGTTCCCCCAGCTCCAAAATAATCTGCAGGACCAACCACACTGATGCCGTGTACCTTGCCTGATGGGATCAAGGCTGTGTGGAGAAATCTGAAGCTATTTTGGTAACTTTCGGCTTCAACTGAAGTTCCTCTCACTAAAACCAAGGGGCTCTCCGGGGCTGACAGAGGGGCCTACTGCTACCAGACTGCAGCCCAGGCAATAACTAAGGGCCTCATCTTCAGAGGCAGGAAATCAATGCTGGCCCAGGGACAGTGCGGCCATTTAGCTCAACTCCATCAGAAACTTTCACAGAGGAAAGGTGGAAACAGAGAAATGGAGTTCTATCCCTATAGTGTCGTTCGCTGTAGTGAGACCTAAGTTTTGGAAATATCTCTGACTCCCACTTGCATCGGCTGCTCTGAGGCCACCGTGTGGGAAGTGCAGGTGGTGAAGACAGAGACTGGACCTGCCCTGGCCAGTTCACGCCAACTCAGCGAACAATCTTCTGAGACTCTTCAACAGATTATATGTTGTCACAGGGCGTTTGACTCTATCTCCCCCCAAAAGACAAAATGTCCAAACATTTTTGGGAAATGGGGGGATCTTTTATCTAGGTTAGAGAAGACTCTTGAGAGTCCCTTGGACTGCAAGGAGATACAACCAGTCCATCCTAAAGGAGATCAGTCCTGGGTGTTCACTGGAAGGACTGATGTTGAAGCTGAAACGCCAATATTTTGGCCACCTGATGTGAAGAGCTGACTCATTTGAAAAGACCCTGATGCTGGGAAAGATAGAAGGCAGGAGGAGAAGGGGACAACAGAGGATGAGATGGCTGGATGGCATCACCGACTCAATGGACATGGGTTTGGGTGGACTCCGGGAGTTGGTGATGGACAGGGAGGCCTGGCGTGCTGCGGTTCATGGGGTCGCAAAGAGTTGGACACGACTGAGCGACTGACCTGAACCTCACCCCATGGGAATTGCCCTCCTGATTCAGTGGGGCCTCACCGTGTGGGAAGGATTCAGCGGGACACTAATTTGCTGACATAAGATGGCAGGAGGGGAAAGGACACCAGAGATGGCTGTAGACAGGGAAGGGCTGTCATGACACTCTCCGGCAGAGTCAAGGGACAAGGAAGACATGAAGGGAACACTCTATCCAATACCAGGGACCTGGGCTTCCAGGTCAGAAGATTCCCAAATCTGTGGTTTTTAGGGGCACTTTTGACAAATTTCCCTCAACAGCAGACAATGGGTTCTCGGAAAGAGGTGAGACTGCTGACCACGTGAGTGGCCTCCAAGAGCTCTGTGACCAGCCACGTGAGGCTGGACGCTCAGCAGTCTCATTGCCAGCAGAAGGAGCTCCAGCCAAGGACGCCAAGGACATTTGGACGGCTTTACCTCCATGATGGGACTGGATGCCAGGACCTTCTCTTCGATGTTGGTGTCACTGGCCGAGCCACTGACCGTGGTGAAGTAGCGCATGGCATACTTGGCCGACACCGTCTTGCCAGCTCCAGACTCCCCGCTGACTATGATGGACTGGTTCTTCTCGTCTCTGCAAAGGAAAAGGCCCTGGTCAGTTGCTGGCCATGGAAAGGCACTCTCACCTTCCAAGGACCCTGTTGACAAGGGTCTGAGCCCAAATTAGGGATAAATGTGAGGGATGGCGTGGAAACAGCCCAACTTCCTTCATACATTTGCACAGATCTGAAAGTGGGAGAAAGAAAGGAGTTCTGAGAAGGACTTACAAATGCCACAAACCCTATTTTATGACCCAGAGGGAGGGGGACATACGTATCTTGGACTATCTGTAATCACCTGTAAGTTGACCTTGGGGATGACGGGCAAGAGCACCATCACTTTGTTCTACACACATTAGCTTTGCTTCCGTTTCAGCTAGAGAACCCAGGACAAGAATATGGGCAGTAAAAACCACCTGATTTTGAACCTCACACCCACTGGTTAGCTGTCTGACTTTGGACAAGGTAGTTTACTTCTGTGACCCTCAGATTTATCTCAGTCCAGTCTCTTATGACTTTGATCTCCAACCATGCTCACACTCTTCTAAGTGGTCACCTAGACTTAGGGACCACCTAAGGTCTCTAATTCATCCTAACACTCCTGCCAGATTGAGTGTCTGAAGCACAGCTCTAGGTGTGCTTTCCCCACTCAAAGCAAGGTAACTACCCATCCCTTACCGAATCAAGTCCAAAGTCCTTAGTTGAATGGTTGAACCCCATCACAATGCACATCTCAACACTAAAACCTTTGACAAGCATGGGCAAACTATGGTGCTAAGAACAGAACACTGGGCCTTTGGTCTAAAGATCTTGTCTGANTCCCTTACCGAATCAAGTCCAAAGTCCTTAGTTGAATGGTTGAACCCCATCACAATGCACATCTCAACACTAAAACCTTTGACAAGCATGGGCAAACTATGGTGCTAAGAACAGAACACTGGGCCTTTGGTCTAAAGATCTTGTCTGAATCCTGGCTCTTCTATTGGCAGGCTCTTTGTAAGCCTTAACCACATTAAAGAGGATATCATCTTATAGATTTGCTGCAAGACTATATGAAACGATCTCTACATTTCATATAAGATGAGGGTATTGCAGTCCAGCCAAAATGGGCTACTTGTCAGTCTCTGCAACTGCACACTTTCCCACCACTGCCATTTATGGTCCTCAGTCTACCGGAAATCACCAGCAACTTACACCCTTCCACTGAAGCCCGACCCACGTCCAAAGCCTGACCCATCTCAGGCATCCCAGCAGGCAGTTATTTCTCTGCCTTCTGAAGTCTCATGTCACCTGATTTGTGCCGCCTGGAAGGCACTGTCCCATCTCGCCTCACACTGATGTCAGGTCCTGCGTGGTCATTTTACTAGCTGTGTGACTTTGGGTCACTTCTTTTCTTTAGACCTCTGTCTTTTCATCTTGTCAAGTACACGGTTGCAACTTGCACGGTTGCAACTTGGGACTCCCCCAGTGATTTTAATCTGTCTCTGACATTTGATGATTCCATGATCAAAATTGTAACAGGAAGTATGGGTGGGGAAAAGCTCTCAGTTTCAATTTTCCATTACTTAGGGTTGGCTGTGGGGGAGATATTTACTAAGTATGGAATTCTACCCAATGTCCTTCAAAAAGACAACCAATGTATGGTTCCATCCATTCAGCCCAATTACAGACATGACTTAGCCTACTACTTGGGTCTGTTTGCTTTTCAAGAAATCCTTTTCTCCTGAGCCAGGTGAGGTTCCCTTTACAGCACACCTTGGAGAAACCGCAGGTTCATTTCCAGACCACCACAATCAAGCAAATATCCCAATAAAGAGAATATTTCAATAAAGCAAGTCATGTGAATTTTCTGGTTTTTCAGTGCAGATAAGTTACATTTACACTATAATGTAATTTATTAAGGGGATTCCCTGGTAGCTCAGATGGTAAAGAATCTGCCCGTAATGCAGGAGGCCCAGAAGGTACATAAGAGCATTATGCCTAAAAAAAAAAAAGCACATACTTTAATTTAAAAACATTTTATTTTGGAAAAAAATTGTTAAGCACTCTCTGAGCCTTCAGCCAGTTGCAGTCTTCTGGTTGTTGGGGGTTTTACTGCTGACTGATCAGAGTGGTGGTTGCTTAAGGTGGGGGTGGCTGTGGCAATTTCTTAATATAAAACAACAATGAAGTCTGCTGCAGGGATAGACTCTTCCTTTCATGTGAACACTTAGAAGCCAATGTAGGGTTAGCAATTGGCCTAATTTCAATATTGTGTCTCAGAAAATAGGGAGGTCTGAGGAGGTAGGGAGAGCCTGGGGGAACGACTAGCTGATTGAACAGTCAGAACATACAAGACATTTATCAGTTACATCACCTCCTTACATGGGTGTGGCTGGTAGCACCCACAACAGTAACAATATCACATCAACTATCAGTGATCGCAGATCGTCATCACAAATAGAAATAGTGTGAAAAAGTTTGAAATACTGCAAGAATTACCAAAATGTGACACAGAGACTTGAAGTGAGTGAACGCTGTTTGGAAAAAATGGTGCTGATAGACTTGTTTGGCACAGGGTTGAAACAAACCTTCAGTTTGTTTTTAAAAAAATCTGTCAAGCATGATACATGGAAGGGCAATAAGGTGAGTTCTGCCTATATTTAGGGAAACTAACCCACAGCCATGGCATTTCACACCCTGAAACACCAGCTGTGACTCAGGCCCAGGTTGCCCCCAGGAAGGCAGGAAACACCCCTGAAGGCCTGGGCGTCAGGCAGGAGCACAGGGCTCCCGGGCTGGGAACCGGCCACTCTCCAGCTCCCACGCAAAACACCAGCAACCAACAAGTCCACCTCCCATCCCCCTGGGCTCACACTGCATCCCCGTCTTGGACACCTGAGAGGCGAGATTTAACTGCTGCTCAGCCTCCTGCTCGTCCCACCAAACCAAACCAAATTTCCCACCAAACCACTGCAGCACCTGGAGTTCCCCGAGCAAGGCCAACCTCCTCTCCATCCCCATATCTGGGTGGGGGCCCCCTGGGAGGGGGGGAAAGGGGATGGGAAAAAGTGGATGTCAAGGCACCTGAGGTCCCCACTGCAGAGTACTGATCAGCCAGGGAGGTGCTGCAGGGCCTTTGGGGACATCGTGCTGAAGTGCAGTCTTGTTTGGGTTTTCTGCAGAGAAGACACCATCACCCTTGGCCTCCCCACCAGCAACAGGCACAGAACCATCAGGAAGCACTGCTTTAGCCGTCGCCGACTGAGGGAAGCCCCAGAGGAGCTCCAGATACACCACCAGGCTGTGATAACGAGGCCAGTACATCCCTGGACGTGTGTGACATCAGTACCCTCACCCCAGAACCCCTGCTCTAAATGCCACCATGCGGCCACACACCAGTCACTGGACTGAGAGCTCCTGGAGAGCAGGCACTGGCTTTATCCCCGAACTTGCAGGATTTCTACCACCAAAGACTTTTCATTGCTCCCTGTTCCCCCACCCAAGCCTTTTCCGTGTTAAGGGCCACCAGCCTGCACTCGCCTACTTCATCCAGGAGCCTGGGCATCACTGTGGATTCCTCCCTTTCCCTCAAGCCAGTGTGTCTCACTGAATTCACCTCCCAAGACACTCCGCTCTGTTTTCTGGACCTCTGAGTCCCAGCCATCATCTCTAACAAGCATACAGTAAAAGCTTTCTAACCCTTGCTGTCATCCTCCTGTAATATCAACACATCCTCCTTAGATGACCTTTTGTAGTGAATATGGGGTCAAACCTTGCCCCCTGCTTTAAGCTGTCCAATGCCACTCCTCTGCCCTCTAAGATCCCAGCTCCAGGATCATGTTCAATACTCTCCATGAACCAGCACCTCTCTTTCCAGCTTGATTATGTGCCACGCTTCTCTTTGTTCACTCCGTTCAAGCCACATGGGGCTACTTCTTTATTCCTTCCTACTTTATATCTGCTTGAAGCTATTTCAGTTCAAACTGATTTTCCCTTCTTTGATCTCACAACTCTCAGTGCCTGGTACTCAAACAGCCTTACGGCCACTCACACATTACTACTTTTCATTGTAATTAATTACCACCACCAATTTACATTTAGCTGTTACCCTTGCTTCAGTCAGTTCAGTTCAGTCCCTCAGTCGTGTCCGACTCTTTTCAACCCCATGGACTATACAGTACACCAGGCCTCCCTGTCCATCACCAACTCCCAGAGTTTACTCAAACTCACATCCATTGAGTCAGTGATGCCATCCAACCACCTCATCCCCTGTCGTCTCTTTCTCCTCCTGCCTTCAATCTTTCCCAGCATCAGGGTTTTTTCAAATGAGTCAGCTCTTCGCATCAGGTGGCCAAAGTATTGGAGTTTCAGTTTCAGCATCAGTCCTTCCAATGAATATTCAGGACTGATTTCCTTTAGGATGGACTGGTTAGATCACCTTGCAGTACAAGGGACTCTCAAGAGTCTTCTGTTTAAGACTCACAAGACTAGTGGGTGCCAATCTTCTCAGTTTTAAAAATTCATTTTAATAATATGAATATTAAGATATCCCCTTGTTTTTATTTTATCTTTTGGCTATGGCATTCAGGATCTTAGTTTCCCAACCAGGGATTTGAACCCATGCTCTCTGTAGTAGAAGCTTGGAGTCTTAATCACTGGACTGTCAGGGAAGTACCCCAGTCTTCTCATTTTTAACAAGGATAAAAACGAAGTTTGGGAAGACCCAGGGATATTCCTAGAGTTCTCAGCTAGTAAGACACCAAGTACAAACTTGAACACAGATTTCCTTAACCCCAAACAATTTCCCACTGGGGTGTGCTGTGACACTCTATACCACCATTATCAGTGCCTTCGTGTGTAACCAAGCATCCCTTGGTGAATCCCTCCAATAATTCCAGCCTTGAGACATTAGACAGGAATCAGGTGTCAGTGCTGGCTGGCTCAGCATCACCTCCTCAGTTAAACATCACTTCTTTTAGGGTGGTCAGAAGCCCCTCCCTGACCACCCCACCTTCCTAGCACTCAGCATAGAGTTTACTAATATTTTCCTTAT